ACCACATAAGCAAAAAGAAAAAAGCCAGAAGTGGCGTTGTGGCTCAAGTGGTAGAGTGCTAACCTTGAGCTGAAGAGCTGAGGGACAGCACCCAGGCCCCACGACCGGACCCCAAAAAAAAAAAAATCTTACTGTTACTATCTAAAGGATGGGAACAGGATGATAAAATATTTTCACAGTTAAGGTGTAATCAGAAGCAAAGTGGTTATATGAAAGAGTCGTATAAAGCTGTTCATAAAACTATTTCAAATAATGAAACACCTGATACTGAAGTTACTGTAGGTAGCTTTATGGATATTATTTAAATAAAGCTCAGACAAGAAAAATAACTACATGAAAATAAACCTTTGAATTAATTCAATGATATTCCAAAACAAACATTATCACAAATAATAATTGAGATGACACTCCATTTCCAATATAGGAATATAATATCCTGCCAATATGGCCACTGGTCATGAAGGTAACAAATTACATGATCACCAAAGGTTGTCCAAAGTCCTGAGTTCTATACCATATAGCTGAACCACAGTAAAATACTTTGCTCAGAAATTATGACCATTTTCCTGTTGACATGATCCTGTTACCTTCCTTTGTAATAACCATAATAACTTCAGTAAAAGTGGAAGAGAAAAACATGCCACAATTATTTTTAAAAACACATGTGAAGAATAAATGGTATATGCAAATTAAACAAACAGCTTGTTTTGTAAGTAATCATGGCCTCTGTAAAGATTTTCAATCCTTTTCAAAAGAAAAATATTTGAATAATATAAATATTGATTTATTCCTTTTTGTTGAGTGGTAAATAAACCCAGCTTTGCATTTAACAGGCTAGGGAATATTTTTCTAAAAACTTCCCATTTAAAATTCTGCTCAGTGAATAATGCAATACAGTCTAAAATAAGCAATTTCCTCTTTAATGAGTTTGAAATAATTTTTATACTCAAGAGGCAGAAATACCAACTTACCAGCTTTGTGCCTCTTTTAATTTCCTTTTGGACATCTTCAATAGAAAATCCACCAAGACTTTCATTATCAGAATGTGATGATACCAAAGCAGATGAAAAGAGCTATAAATTACATGGAAAAAAAATAAGGTTCATATACATATAGATAAATAGATATAAAGTAGTTCTAGTAAAACCACAAGTAAGATGTTAAATTTAACAAGAAATGTTCTACTAAATGCAGCACAGCATTAGTGACAAATCACTTCTTCAAACCTTCACTGAGTGGCTTTGTTGTATTGAGAAATACTCATGCGCTAGGAAGTTGCTCTCTTGGGAATGGCTTGACGGTTTGGAGTGGCTGCCCATCTACTTACCATGCACTTGTGGTGTGCTGCCACCTTCTGGTTTTCAGATATTAGTAACTGTCCACATTCCTTGTCTCTATTTGACTTACAAAAGCCACATTTGCGCTGTCTCGTAGGCCCCTTTTTCTGTTCAATTGAGCTTGACATGATTTTTAAATTGCTGTTAGAATGCCACTTTAAGCCTCAAGAAATGCTACAGAGAGGAAGAATGGCGACAAACAGTTAATTACGTTTTAAAATCAATTTGTACAGAGTACCATAAGTAGTTGGATGTTTGACCTAGGATTTAATATGTACACTTAAAAATGGCTACTAAGTAAATTAATATTAAAACCCAACATTATTTCAATTATACACACATACAGAGACAGACAGAAAGACAGACAGACACCAAAGGAGAAAAAGAACACTAAATGAAGTGTACAGTAATTGAGAAAAATCCAACTGCTTTCAAACTGGGGAACATGTGAAATAATTGTTTTTTGTTGATTAAAAAAATGTACAATGAGCTGGGCACTGATGGCTATTCAGGAGGCTGAGATCTCACAACTGTGATTCAAAGCTAGCGCAGGTAAGAAAAATCCATGAGACTCTCATCTCCAATGAATTAGTATAAAAATGCTAGAAGTGAAGTTGTGGCTCCAGTGGCAAAGCACTAGTCTTAAGCAACAGAAAAAATAAACTCAACAACAGGGTCCAGGCCCTGAGTTCAAGCCCCAAGAGTGGCACCAAAATAAATAAGTAAATAAATTGTAAAACATAGCCAGGCACGGCAGTGCACTCTATTATCATAGTACTTATGAGGCTGAGGCAGGAGGAATGAGAGTTTGAGGACAGCCTGGGAAAAACAAAGAAAAGTACGATGTATAATACTAAGTCATCATCTGCTGGTATAAGTTATGAAAAACATTTTAAGTACAGTGAGGTACATATCAAGGAGATGCAGAATTTTGTGTCTAAGAGTACAGCGAACACTACTAAGAAAGCTACAAAATATTCAGAGGTAACAGAATTCTGTAACTGCTCAATTTCTTTAAGTTCACATATTGCTGAAAATATTTTTTAATTAATAGAAATAAAATGAATATAATAAACAATGGCTTTGGAGAACTTACTTTTAACACCTGAATTATTTTCAAATTTTAAAAAATTGATGTAAATGATTCCAAATAAACTGATTTTTTCTAATCTATTCCTGAAAAAAATTAGCTTCTGACAAATGCAAGCTTAGGACCCAATTACATAAAAGGTATATACTATATGATTGAGATTTATTTCATGCCTACTTATTAATTAAAGCCAGGGATAGTCTAACTGCAGTTAACTTCCATATGTCAATTAGTGACACTGCTTAGTGGAAGGAATTTTTTTCTGAACGAGCTTACATTTGATCAAATGATCATTATAGGTAGCACAGACAAAAGAAAAGGGAAAGAAAAGGAATAACACAGAAGTTTTCAGATTTAAGTATTTTTACAATAAAAATGTAGTTAAAAAATGAAGTTTTCAGATTTAGATAATTTTCAACATACATTCTCAAGAAAGAGACTGTGAACTCATTCCAGGTCTAAGTAATTCAGCACACAGTATGCTATAAGCCACATTACAATCAATAAAATCTCAAACTTCTATGGTAAAATAAATTTATTAAATTATTTCATTTTTCTGCATATTTAAACATTTGCATAACCCTGCTGAAAAACCATTGACTCATTTGACAGTACACTGTGGCTTTCTGAGATGTATCCATTCACCTATAAGAATAGGAACAGCAAAATAAGCTCGTGTCTACAAACCAGTCAGTGCTATTCGACATAAAAATTTAGATAACTCATGAAAATTTAACATGAAGTCATCAAGAAAATGCCTTCTCATTAATTTATGTCATCTAGTATTTTCCTTTTTTCAACAGAAGGCCAAAGGCCCTGACAAGTAAGTGTGCCTTGATGAATTTAACGAAGTCTTAAGGCTATTCACAATTTTAAATACCTCAGTCCTCCAAGTGGTATCAGATACTGGATTCACGGCACTAACTATAAACTCTGAAACTGATTGAAAACAGACAGCAAATACTTTTAGGATTAAAGAGAAAAAGATATAACAGAGAAACAAAAGAAACAAAAGGGGAAGTGTGTTTGCATTTGCCCAGGCAAATATGTGTTCAGTTGCTTTATCCAGAATAGAACTGCCCAAATTTTTAGAACTATGCAAAACAGCAAGATTCACAAATAGCATCAAAATCTGCTATTTGAGTGTTATAATAGTGTTCATTACTATCATGAATGAAGAACAGACACTCTGAAGTCACCATAATGTATTCAGCATTTCTCCCGGCCATTCTGGCCAGCAGAAAGGAAGGAACCCATTGTAAATCTAATCTGCATAGATATCTTTAATATGCAATTTCTATGCAATCCTAGCACTGACTGTAACACTGCCCTAAGGCAAGTAAAATTTTGAGAGTACAAATTTAGGTTTTACTGTAAAATTTAATCCTGAAATGAAATTCCCCCCAAATTCTATTCTGCCTCATTCAATTAGTAAACAGGTAAATTTCATCCTAAATTTGAGAATCTGCTTTTCTAGATATGAAAGACACCAAAATTTAAAAGAGGAAAAAAAAATCTTCCCCTTATACTGTATTCAGAAATAGTCTCATGGATTCCCCTGTAATGAGTTTAAATATAATTTGTAAAGTGAACAGAGCCACACAAAAAAAGTACAAGAAACCAATTTAAAAAGTTTCCCCAATATGTAATGACTAAATGGATTTTTCCACTAAAATTCAAATAATGCATCTGTGCATATCTTAATAATTTTTTACAGCCTCCTTCCTTATAAAACATGAAGTGGAGAACATCATGGAAACAATGACTCTTAGCAAAAATGTCTATCACAGAAATTCAGATTTTTATCTCATGCTGTCACATTTGTGGTCTGTATTAAGTAAAATCAGGGCATTCCGAAGAACATTACTAAGGGGCTGGTAAATGATTCTGAGCTATATGGTATTTTAATTTCAGTGTACAAAGGTTTTTTTTAGGGCAAGCGAAGATCAAAGTTTGATGTTCTCACCCAACAATGAAACCTTTCCCTTAAAAGAATCCTAATGTTATGGACACAGTTATAAAGCAGAAATAAAGAGGCAGCAATAACGGCATGGAAAGCCTAATTGAAACGTCTGACAGAATACAAAAAAAGGCAGATTAGGCAGGTTGAAGCAATCAATACGTTTTTGATTTTTCCAAGATGCTTGGAAGGCACCAAGGTAGAAATGGCTTGAAACATCCAGGAGAGCATTCACGACCCAAGTTGAGGGCTTATTCAATGCCTGCTATCTGAAAGAACATTTTCACAGAAAACAAAACAAAACAAAAACAAAAACTGCAGTTCCGGAAGATTAAAACATTCCCTACTCCAGCCAGAGTGTAATCTGCACATCCTGATCCATCAACGCGATCGCTCAGAAGGAAAAGTTACAGGAGAAAGAAACGAGTAAGAGGTGTACCGGAAGGGCACCTGAATTTGGTTGCACGATATTGATACATGTTTCGTACTGCTTTTCTTTCTTTCTTTTTTTTTTTTTGCGGTTATTGAAAAGGAAACTAAAGGAATTTTCCAGTTCTTTCAAACCCAAGGGTAGAGAAAGAATTTGAGCTGTATGAATATGATCTGGTATTACGTAGGGATCCGATGAAAAGGGGGAAAAAAAGGTTCTCGGGAACCCAAGAGATTGTTTAACTTCCACTTGGAATATTGAAACGAGTGCAAATTGCAGAATACCGTGACTGCTCGCCTATATAATAAAGGATGGTTACACCTAGCATAGCCGATCTTCTCCGTTATTTTACCCCCCCCCCCCGCTCGGGGCACAATTCGATCCCCAAATCTCTGTCTAATTCAGGCGCTAGATAAAACTCGAGAGAAACTCTCTTCCTCTAAAACACTTCAGCAGCTCCCTTTCCGTGTTCAAGTCGGGGTCCCCTCATCGTCCTTTAACCACGCTCTCCCCAAGGTGGGCAAACCTCATCCTAACACTTTCCCTGCACCCCCCCTCCCCCAGGAGATCGTCCTCGCCTTTATCCAAGAGTTTCATCCCTCGTTTCCCCACCCCGGGAGTTTTTTTCTTTCTTTTTTTTTTCTTTTTTTTCCCCCTCATTCCGTCAAGGCTAAAACCCTCATTGCCATGCTAACAATTCCTCTTCTCCCACTTTCCAAAGCGGGAGTTACCGTCCTTCCCAAAATGTGTTCGAAGCCAACAGTCAAAAGACTTGAAAAAAAAAATCCCAGCTTTTTTTTCCCCCACCTCAAAGGTTGGACCCTCCACCCCTGAAGTCCAGGCATAAGCCTAGCCTCTCCTCGGGTACCCCCAAAACACTTTCTCAGCAGCCTCGGTGCCAAGTGCCTACCATGAGCGGCGCTTCTGGGGTTCCTGACAATAAAGCAAGACCACCAACAGTCGCCCCTTAACAACAGGCAGGGGCGGCGGCCTGGCCACCGCCATCCTCCTTGTCTTCTCCCGCCTGGCAGAGAATGGGGGGCCTCTGGGCTCCCTGAGTACTCACCACTAGGGCCCCGAGGCGGATGGCAAGAGAGAAGCGCCAATGAGGGGAAAGAGAAAGAAGTCGGTCTCTGTTCTCCAGCACTGCCTGAGAGCGGGGCTCTGTCGCCGGAGGTTGTTTCCTTTCATTCGAGGAGAGACAGGCTCGCCGAGCGCCCTTACGTCGCCTCCCCCTCCCCTGTGCACGCACACGACCCACATAGCGTTGATACGTCCTGAGCGTGCTGCGGACTTTGGTTGGCTGCAGAGACGGGGAGGTTGAAGCGGCGAGGACACGGCGCATGTGCATAGGCCATTCCCTGTACGGATCGGGTAACAGACCCCGCCTCCTGCTCGCGCGCCTACCTTCTATTCTCCGCTCCGCCGCTCCGCCGAATGTTTGGGGCAGCATCTAAGGGACGCCAGAGAAAGACATCGCAAGATTGCCCTATGGGTTGGAAGGAGAAGGAGCAGAGCTAGCGACTAGAAACCGTTGGATGCGGGTTCTGGGTAGCCTCTTTTCAACAGTTTTTCAAATAAATAGGCCGGAGATCCCTTGCACTTGCTCACCCAGGCCCTTTCACATCCATTATTTCATTGTAGTCTCGTGGTATCCCTTTGAGGTCCTCTATTCGCCTTGTTTTACTGTCCGCAAAGACAGAAGCTCACAGTGCCCTTAGCTTACCTGAATTTCAGTCCTTGGTTAAATCATTTTAACCTCTTTACTTTAACCCTTTTTTGTCATTAAAATAGGAATATAATCACATATCCCGGGTTTATCGTGAAGAAGAATGAAAGACTGCAAAGAAAGCGTTGTACTACTACCGTCCCTGACGTACAACACACACTTTATAAATCCTGGGATTGGCATAATCAGAAAATATAAGTGATTTCCTTTACAACACAGGTAAACCAAAAGCCTAAATCTGAGCTTTTCTCTTGCATATAGCTGAGCCAGGCTGCTTGAATTTGTATCTCTGCTTCCTCACTACTAGCTGAATGACCTTGATCACATTACATTACCTTTCTGTCCCTTAGATTCATCTTGTCCAAAATGGAGAACATAATGGTATACATGTCAAAAGGTTGTTGTGAAAAATCGGTTGATATATAAATTTCAGACAATGATGCCTGGGCACATACAATGCCCTATTGTAAGGAACAACTTTTGTTATTTACTTCTGGCCCCCACAGACTACAAGCCACTCATTTTTTAAAAAAAGAAGAAAAGGCTTTTGAACCTTTAAATATATTCTTTAAAAGGGGGGGATCTTCTTGTCATTTCTTTTGTAGTGGAGGTGTATTTGTACTTTTAATTTCTCCATTCTTGTGTGAATCTTGTACATTTTCTCTATAATGTCCACCTTAAATTGTAATCTACAAGAAAACACTGATTGTAGTATAGTGTCAACCCCATTCAAATAGGTATCCCATAAAAGCAGACAAATCAGTCACTAGTTAGTTGAAAGAAACCCTTAGCTCTTGTACCAAGGCTATATACTTTAAAAAGGAGTGGCTACAGATTTTTGGGAGAAGATCCAGAATATGTGTTCCAAACATTTATGGTATATGTAAAAAAAAAAAAAAAGCAGGTCAACCAACACCATGTTTTATCAGCTTTACAAGCTTATAGGATGAGAAAGAGGACTAAATAAGTGAAAAATGTAATGTACACTATCTTGTCAGATTACCCCAAATTCACATCTGTCTCTCTCTTATTCAGCCTTTCTTGAATTCATTTAAAAATGTTGATTCAATGGGACTGGGAAGGTGGCTCAGTGGTAGAGCGCTTGCCTTGCATGCATGAGGCCCTGGGTTTGATTCCTCAGCACCACATAAGCAAAAAGAAAAAAGCTGGAAGTGGCACTGTGGCTCAAGTGGTAGAGTGCTAGCCTTGAGCTGAAGAGCTCAGGGGCAGTGTCCAGGCCCAGAGTTCAGGCCCCATGACCGACAAAGAAGAAGGAGGAGGAGGAGGATGAGCAGGAGGAGGAGACAACCACGACGACGACTTCAAGGCCAGCCTAAACTAGAGCATGAGACCTGATCCCAAAAAAGAAAAGCCACATCAAGTTATATACCTTAAATATATCCTTTTTTCTTTCTTTTTAAAATTTGATTTATTTATGTATTTATTTTGTTATGGGGCTTGAACTCAGAACCTAAATACTGATCCTAAGCTTTTTTACTCAAGGCTGGTGCTCTAGCACTCTGAGCCACAGCCCCACTTCTGGGTTTTTTCAGATGGCTAATTGGAGATAAGAGTCACCGACTGGGGCTGGGAAAGTGGCCTAGTGGTAGAGTGCTTGTCCCTAGCATGCATGAAGCCCTGGGTTCAATTCCTCAGTACCACATAAACAGAAAAAGCCAGAAGTGGTGCTGTGGCTCAAGTGGTAGAGTGCTAGCCTTGAGCAAATGAAACTCAGGGACAGTGTACAGGCCCTGAGTTCAAGCCCTAGCACTGGCAAAAAAAAAAAGTCACAGGCTTTCCTGCTTGCGCCACTTTGAATCACAATCTTTAGATCTCAGCCTCCTTAGTAGCTTGGATTACAGGCTTGAGCCTCCAATACCCAGCTAAATATATACATTTTTCACTTGCAATTATATCTCAATATTGCTGGAGGACAATAATCAAAAACAGAGAAAAAGGCTTAATTCTTGCCTCCAAGGAATCTTTTTTAACTGAATGAGGAAGAAAATCATATAAAGAAATTTTCACTGCAATAGATCACCTATTACATACCTGCTATTACATTCCAGCTACATCACCTGAATTACATACCTGCTAGGATCATTGGATTCTGTGCAGCACAATCACAAAATACATTACAAGAAGGCACTTTTTGGTTTGGACCTTAATAGACAGCTGAGAGTACAGAAAATCTGTATTGTTTTTTAATGACATTAGTAACAATGTGATCAAAATCCTCTTGTGTTTTTTTAAATTATATTCAATGACTTCTCTCCATCTTTATTCTACATCTACATTTATTTATTTATTTATTTTTATTTAGTCAGTCATGGAGTTTGAACTCTGGTCCTGGATGCTTTCCCTTAGCTCTTCAGCTCCAGGCTAGTGCCACTTCTGGTTTTTCTGGGAGTTAATTGGAGATAAGAGTCTCATGGACTTTTCTGCCCAGGTTGGCTTTGAATGGCAATACTCAGCTCTCAGCCTCCTAAGTAGCTAGGATTACAGGTGTGAGCCACTAGTGCCTGCCTTGAGATCCATCTTCCTAAACTTCCCAGATATTGTGCTGTAGGTTTGTTGAGGACTACAGAGAAGAAACTTAAAGTTCCTTATCTTCTTTTTGGGGAATTAGTATAATCTCTTGACTTTTTAAAAATTGAAATATTTTTAATTTTTAAAAAATATTGTTATTATAAAAATGATATACAGAGGGGTTGCAATTATAAAGTCAGGTAAAGAGCACATTTCTTCTTTTTTTTGTTGTTGGTCATGGAGCTTGAACTCTGGGCTTGGCCGCTGTCCTTGTGCTCTTCAGCTCAAGATGAGTGCTCTACCGCTTGAGCCACAGCACCACTTCTGGTTTTCTAGTGGTTTATTGGAGATGAGTCTCATGGACTTTCCTGCCCGGGCTGGCTTTGAACTGCGATCCTCAGTTCTCAGCCTCCTGAGTAGCTAGGATTACAGGCGTGAGCCACTGGCATCCAGCAAGGGCACATTTCTTTTTAGACACTGTCACCCCTTCCCCCATTCTAATCACTTGAATTTTACTACCCTGTAAAGAAATATTTAGTTACTACAACTGCTCTGTCTACATCCAGTCTATCCTTGACCATAAATTAACCAAGTCCTGTACTAGCAAATTCAACTTCTTTGTCAACTAAGAAAAACTCCTTTGCCTATTTTCAGTGTCTTCCACTAGGATACCAGCAGCATTTCTTCTGTGTAAATCAATGGCTGATTTCACCTATGAGCCTGTTGTTTGTAATCAACACTAAGGTATTGCTTATTCATTCTCCAGATACATATTGATCACTAACCAAAGGTTAGATAAGAATAGACATGGATGGGCTGGGAAGGTGGCTCAGTGGTAGAGCACTTGCCTTGCATGACTGAGGCCCTGGGTTCAATTCCTCAGCACCACATAAGCAAAAAAAGAAAAAAAAGAATAGATATGGTTTACATTGGTGGGGGAGACAGACTTAAGTAATCACTTAAACAAATGTAAAATTACAACTATGGCAAGTACAAAAGGAAGTGACAATTAAGTAGTACTTTAAAGCAGAATTTTTCTTTTCTTTTTTTTTTTTTGGGGGGGGGTTCAGTCATGGGGCCTGAACTCTGGGCCTCGGCACTGTCCCTCAGCTCTTCAGCTCAAGGCTAGCGCTCTGCCCCTTGAGCCACAGCACCACTTCCGGCTTTATTTCTTTTTGTTTATGTGGTGCTGGGGAATCAAACCCAGAGCCTCAGGCATGCAAGGCAAGTGCTGTACCACTGAGCCACCTTCCCAGCCCAAAGCAGAATTTTTAAGTAGAACTCAAATCTATTTTCTGTGTGTGTGTGTTTGTGTGTGTGTGTGTGTGTGTGTGTGTGTGTTACTGCAGATGGAACCCAAGACCTTGCACATGGTAAACAAGCCTTCTACCATTGGACTACATCCCTAATGCCGTTACCTTTTTTTTTTTTTTTTTTTTGACTGCTGTGTGGCTTGAACTCAGGGGCTTGGAGCTGTCCCTCAGCTTTTTTGTTCAAGGCTAGCATTATACCTCTTTGAGCCACAGCGCCACTTCTGGTTTTTAGGTGGTTAATCGGAGATTAGAGTCTTGTGGCCTTTCTGCCTGGGCTGGCTTTGAACCTCGATCCTCAGATCTCAGCCTCCTGAGTAGGTAGGATTACAGGCGTGAGCCACCCATGGCCAGTCAGTTTTTGTCATTTTCAAACTTCTGCTACTGGTAAGGCTTTGTAACATTCTTAACTCTGCTCACTTGTGCAGTTAGTTACCTAATAAGCAGTTGGTTTATAGTGGATCTGGTGGCTGATTATCTCACTTATTTGGCAACTTGAGGATTGTAGGGTATGGACACTGTCTATAGAGAATGGTTTGGAGATGTATGGATATCCTTAAAATAGGATTTCTTGGCCAGGCACTAGTGGCTTATATTCATAATCCTAGCCACTCAAGAGGCTGAGATCTGAAAATAACAGT